TAAAGTATTGGAAACAAAGCTTCCAAAATTCTAGAAAACGGCTCTGGGGAATCTTTTGACAACGGGGGCAGCATTTCTATCCTTCAGGTGTGTAGCTCAGGAAAGGAGACATTTGCATTTCCTGGTGTTTCATCATTATTATTCCAGACAGGAGGCTAACGAAAGTTGTAGGGGTGATGGATACTCTTCGGTTATAGAATTGCTCCCCAAAACAACTTTGGGTGCCCTGCGTTTGGGGAGCGGCTTCCCTCTGCCAGCCGAGGAGCCTTGACAAGGTTCCCCAAGGAAAGCCAGCCGTCTTCCCAGCCCCACCAGGCAGATTCTCCAGAACCGCTGGAGCCTCAACAAGCCTCCCCTCATCTTGGTCCGAGTGGCTCCTCGGAGCCTGCTTGATCAGAAGGCGATTCTGCCAAATCCGAGGACCGATGGAAACCCCTTTGCCAGGCGTCCAACAGGTGAGAATGCATAAATCGAAGCCAAAGAAGGAAGGAAAGACGACCGACCCAGATTGGACCCCGAAAGAAGATTCAGCCCAAAGAATCTCACGGGAGCTACAGGAAGGGGGTGCCAGGAGGAGACGGCTGGCGACCGTGGGAAGGAAGAGCCAGGGCGCTGGCTGAGGAGACCCAGGAGGGAGACCCAGGAGGGAGACCCAGGAGGGAGACCCTGGGCGTGAACGAGGGGGGAGCCTCTCTGGGGCTTCCCCTGGGCAAGAGGGGGGAGGACTCACCTTGAGGAGGGATGGCAAGGTCTCGAATGCCTTAATCTGCAGGAAGTTCCCAACCAGAGGCAGAGGAGTGGGCCCAGGAGGAAGCCGGCCCCTGGCAGAGGGCTTCCTGCGGACGAAGAGCAGCACGAGGTAGGAGAGGCAGGCAACCAAGAAGAGGGAGAGTGCGCTTGCCAGCTCCATGGTGCCAGCCTCTGTCCAGGCTCAGTGAGGTTGTGGGCATTTAACTGGGGCTGGGATTGGCACCACCTCTGGGTTATGCAAGAGCACCAGGTAAATATATCAAATGCTTAATCATGGATACTGGTGCCAAATCAGAAAGAAAGGTGGCTTTTTTTTTTTTGCAACATATGACCTAGGAGTCATCAGTCACATCTCTGCTTATGCCTTATCTCCTCGCTTCTCTTTGCTTTTCCCTGGTGCCCTGGGCATGGCTGCATTCCTGCCCAGGGACGGTCCTGGCATTGGGGGCCTCCCTCTGCCTCTCCACTCGAGGTGCTCCAGAAGACTCTGCAGCCATCACCTCCCAGGCCAGCTGAAGGGAGGGCAGCCCGGGAGCTCCAGCAGCCGCACCCGGAGACCCGGAGGAGAGGGGGGCAGTGGCAGGCCTGGGGCAGGGACAAGGCTGTTCCTTCGGGCACGGCAACATCTGCTGGAGATTGATTGATATTGATGGGTTTAAAAGATTTATAAGGCCACTCGTCTTAAAGATGACTTTGGGCAGCTCAAGTTTAAGAGGACAGTTGTGCCCATCCCCAGCCTGGTGGGAAAATCTGCATCTGGCCGAAGTTAGCTGCTGGGAGAGGCAGCTGTTTCCAGATGTTTTGAGGCCTTGACTTGGGGATCAGGAGCCCAGAGGCTCCCCTTTAAAACCAGATGGGTCTGGGCTGCTGCCCTCTGGGTTGGCATCTAATGTGGCCTCCGACTGGCATTTGGGCTTTGCTGCAGGCCAGGAAGCTCCTCTGCTGGAAATCTCCCCTGCACAAGAGCCCCATAAAGTCAGGGCACCCCATGTGTGGGGCCAGACGTGGGGCGAGGCTGAAGCAGGACTATGACAGCATAGCCCTCCCCACCCCCCACTCTTGCCCCCGATGCTCCCGGGCCTGGGGATTGAGGCAGCAACAGCCTCCCAGTTGGATGTGGCAGCCCTTCAGGACCCTTCAGTGGGGACCCTCACTCAGGAGACCCCCTCCGGCCGGGGCCCTTCCATAGGACTGGTGCCCACAGAACGCCTGAGCTTGGCAGGTGGCAGCCCACCAGGGCTGCCATGGGAGGCTGTTGGGAGACTGTTGACCCCCAGAGAAGAAACCAATGGGGAGACAGCGACCCCCCCTCCTCCCCACTGGAGGGCATCTGACCAGGCTTGGCAGGAGGCAGCTGTAGGAAATGCTGTGGGGGTCTTCCCTCCCCTGGACTCTATTTGCATCTTGTTAAGTTTTTTCGGGAAAGGCTCTTGCTAAGAGGAAAGCCAGGTTTGCACCACACCTGGAAGAGGCCGGGTGGGGCAATTACCTGGGGATCAGCGGGGGCCCCCCCCCCCTTACTCCTTCCTTTGCGTTGGCAGCGCACAAAGTTGTGCCGTCTTCCTCTTGGGCGGCCCAAAGTCTTCCCTATTTGTTTGCGGTGGGAGTGAGGCAAAATTCCCCTTGCCATTTGTGTATATTGCTCCTAAGTGTAAATACACAATCAATTATTAACCATTTCCAGGCATTGGGGCCCCTTCTGCCCCCAGCAGCAGCTGCCCAGAGGCCCCAGGGCAAAGCTCGCCCAGCATCCG